TATATATATCTAATTTTTAATTTAGTTTTGATCAACCTTGATCTGGATTGATCTAATTTGATCAGAGTGGATCTAGTTTGATCAGAATATATCTATTCATATCTACTTTTCAATTTCATTTTGATCAAACTTGATCTGGTTTGATCTAAGCAGATCAAATTAGATCTGTTCATATCTACTTAGATCTAAATTTAGATCAAATCTGATCTGCTCAGATCAAATTTGATCAGAGCAGATCTAAACTTTTTTCCCCGGGTATGTATTTTCTGACTAAGATTGTTGAGTTAGGTCGAAATATAGTAAAATTAACGGAAAATTACGTCATGAAGACAAATACAATAGTTAGATTTTTATGAAATCTACTAAAAAAATATATTTTGAATATATATAAAATATATTTGAAATATATAAAATATATATGAAAATCGGCCAAAAATTAGTTATTAAAAATATATTTATTATACATATTTTTTATATATTTATATATTTAAAATATATTTCGAAATATATATTTTTTATATTTTTTTTTCATAGGGGTATATTTTAGAATATATATTAGAATCGATCGATACTTGAGTTTAAAAGTTATCCCAAAAAAAATATTTCTGAAAAATTTACTGTGTGGTAATAGAACTTTTTTGCATGCCGTAAACTGCGTTTTGATCGGTCAAAACGTTCAAGAGTTATAATGAGTTTACATTTAACACCCCCGCCCACACATATACACACACATACTTATTCTACGCATGCATACATAGTGACATCTTCATAAAAATAGTTATAACTGCTTTCTAGGGCCTTTTAGCTTGGAGATCTGATAAGAGCTCGATTCATGAAAATTGTAATAAAACAAATAATTTTTTAACTTTTGAGTCAGTGATTTTTATATCGAGAAGTTAAAAACTCGTAAATAAAAAAGCACATTGTCTTATTGAGTAGATTTTGTATACATAAATATAATGAAGTTATCATATCATAAACGCAAAAAATTTTACTCTAAATCATCAATACATACACTGATAGAAAAACAATCTTGATTCAAGAAACTTTTTTTCTTCAAAACTTGAACTCTTGAAACTAGATATAGATATATTTCTTTCAAGAATTTTTGTCTCTTGGTTCAAGATTGGCGATAACATTGATTCAAGATGTTACCGACTTGTGTTAAGAATGGATTTTTTTTTGAGTTATTAATTAATTTACTTATTTCCAAGAAATAATTTTTTTTTTTGGTATAAAAATTAAAGACTATTCAGTTTTTGAAATAAACTTTGATGAATTATTTTAAGTTTTTTAAACGATAATGTTATTTTAATTGAAAAACTGAAATGTATCGATTGAAGATAATATAGCTCTTAAGTCAAGAAAATCTAAATCAAGACAAGAAATTCTTAAAGCAAAATAATCATTTGTCTTCCAAAATAAATTCTTAAATCAAGAAATTATCTCTTGAGTCAACATAAATTTTCTATCAGTGTATGTATGTTCTAAAAAATTACAACTTAAATAAAATTCCTTCGTTTGATGGAGTTATTATTTTTTTGATAAATCTTAGAATAATCAATAGCTTTGATATTACAATAGTTTCTCTTTGATATCAGATCACTTTGAAATGAACATCAGTGGAAGTCCATTAGCCAGTGAAATGTCGAACATTTACAACAATTCTGTAGTTCATTTTTGGCAGCACATATTTCATGATGTGGCAGGTAAATATTTTAAATTTCAATTGTTAACATTATTTTACCACATTAACACCTACCGAAAATATTATTTTCAGATCCTAGAACAAGAGACTGGTTCTTAATGTCTTCTCCAGTTCCTGGTGCTAGTATTATGTTTGGCTACCTTTATTTTGTTCTTTCATGGGGTCCTCGTCATATGGAGCATCGAAAACCTTATAAGCTTAAAAACACACTCGTTATCTACAATTTTTTTCAAGTTGTTCTCAGTATTTGGCTCTTTTGGGAAGGTCTTGATGCTGCTTGGTTGAAAAAATACAGTTGGAAATGTGAACCTGTTGATTACTCTAATACTCCTGAAGCATTAAGGGTAAAATAACTTTAATTTTTTTAAATGTTCTTTTTTGGTAATCATGAATTACTGTTCATAGGTTGCTAGAGGAGTTTATATGTATTTCCTAGCTAAAATATCAGAACTTCTTGACACAGTTTTTTTCGTTTTGAGAAAAAAAGAACGACAAATTACGTTCTTACATATGTACCATCACACTGTGATGCCATTAATATCATGGGGAGCGACTAAATATTACCCCGGTGGACACGGAACGTTTATTGGTATGTATAAACTAAATTTAAATGTAGTTGTCGTAACCAATTAACAGTATCGTAATATTTTTTTTCTTTTTCAGGTGTTATCAATAGTTTCGTTCATATTATAATGTACACATATTATTTATTGGCTGCTCTGTTGCCGCAATATCAACAATATTTATGGTGGAAAAAATATATCACAACATTGCAAATGGTAATAGTATATTTATTTCATTTTCTTCGAAATCAAAAAATTAACTATCACTTAGAGTATCAATTATTGATAGTTTTAAAAAGAAGTCATTAAGTGGGTTGTGATACTCATTTAAACTACTCACAAAAATTAATGGAGAAAAATATAATATGAGAATATTTTAGTGCTTAATAAATTTAAAGTAGCCTCATGAACATTTAGTTTGATCTGTTGAACGATTTTTCCATACCGATTGATCGGAAAAATTAAAAAATGGGTTCAATACTGGAAAAATTTTTTTCTTTCATACATTGACGAAAATTAAAATATTTCTACAAAAAAATTTTTTTACAAATTTTTACTGAACAATTTTTTTTTTTGGCTTGAATTGTTTTTTCTAAAAATAGAAAAATTTTTTCAGCTCGTAAATCCGAAAATGAAATACAAAAAATTTTTTGCGAGCTTTGTCTTAAAATAGCGTAAGAACCATAACTCCTAGAAATTTTTAATTGATCAATCTGAAAACGAGAATTTTGGTTGTTTAAAATTCTTTTTTTATGATTTTAATAACGCTATTTCTTGCTTAAATTTGAAAAATATTTATCTCGCTCCCTTAATTTTTGTGATAAATATTTATAAAAAATTTAAGATTTTTGTCAAACATAAAAAACACGTAGAAATTATATATCACATCAGATTTTGAAATTGTTTAATAGGTAGAATATAGAAATTAAAATTTCTCAGAAAAATCAAAGTTTTAATTCAGTTTAAAAAAAATATGATTCAAATATGAATCCAGAATCTTAAAGTAAAATATACTTGAGAATTTTTTTTCTGATGTTAAAATTATGTAAAAAATAATTGAAATAGTAAATATAAATTTCAATAACTTAAAAAAATAAAAAATTGATACTTTTCGTCGAAAATATAATGAACGAAAAATGTCAATAGTCGGTATACTTTGTATAATTGAGGATCTAGTACTTAAAGTTTGTGTGATTTTCAGGGTCAATTCTGTCTCGCCTTCGTGCACAGCTTACAATTACTCATCTATGACTGTGAATATCCAAGATGGTCTCTTCTTCTTATCTTGCCTAATGTTACATTCTTCTACCTTCTTTTCTTCGATTTTTACAAAAAAGCTTATGTACCACAAGATAAGAAAAAAGATGATAATCTGAATGTCACGGACAACGGCAATTCGTGGAAAAATAATAAAGAAAATGGTAAAGAAAATACTCGAAAAGTAGTTGATGGCAATGCATCAAATGGAAAACTTAAACAAGGGTGATAATATTAAATTTAATTAGATTTGGAACTGAAAGTGTATTGAGAAATCATACTTGCAATAGTTTCAGTTTTTTATATTTTCTAGCACATAGGATACTAAGTAGCGAAAAAACTATTAAGTGCGTGGTGAATTGAATAACTTAAATATAAACCCTAATTTATATTAGGATGTATTGAATAAAATCGATATTTTATGTTGTTAAGTACTTCAAAGATCTTTAAGAAGTACATTTATATAGATATAATATTGTTAACATTTTTTTAGTGAGCTCTAAGCAAATGTGTAGATTTAATCATTTTTAATTTTTTATCATATTTTAAACTATGCGGCATAAAATTTTTTTATTTTCAACATTCTATTGAATTTTCTTTAACTTGTACATTATCGTTATACCTAATCTTTATTGTATTCAAAGTATGTCTTATACAAAATTGCTAAAATATTTATGTATATAAATAGTTTGTTAATTTTTTTAGCGTTTAATATTTTTCATATCATTAGAAAAACTAAAAAATACAGTCTTGTATAGAGGTAAATTCAAATAGTTATAAGCTATAAGTAATTTAACTTTTTATACGTTCTCAAAAATAGTAAGAAATAAATTCAATTTCTTAGAAAATTTTAAAGCTATTTGTAATAATAAAATAGTTATGGTTAAAAATTTGTAAACAATAGATTTATGATTAAAATATTTGTTAATTTAAATAAGATCACGCACTAAAACCCAAAACAGTAAATTTTATAATTTAAAAGTGTACATTAAGTAAAACGAATTTAATTATTTTTTTGATTATTCAATAATTATTAACTTATTACTTATCATAGAAACTGTAAAAATTAAAACTTTTAGTGATAATTAATATTGCTTTGTGTAATAACATTTACTTTAAAAATATACTCATATAAATAAAACAAGGACTAATAATAGTCGAGTTGAATACAAGAGCTAATCAATATTACAGCTGGAAATCTTATTCTTTCAATTAATTTCATAATTGTTAGCATTAAATTTAGTACGAAATTACTAAAATTAGTAAATAGAATTGTAAAAAATATCATTCTCTTTATCTCTAATTGTAAAAAAGAAATTTCAAGCTCAGTAATTCATACAGCTTGTTGCTGTAGTATTTTCCGTATGTATGATACAAGACTAGAAAGAAAAATCATTGTTTTTTAAACTAAAGATTATTTTTTTTTTTTTAATTTTTTAAGTTCTCTTTCAATGTACAAAATGAAGAGCTCAAATTGTTTTAAAAACAAAAAAAAAATTATAGAAAATAAACTTAAAAGGTCAACAGTAAAAAACTTAGTTCAATTTTGTTTACATATTAAGTTATTATTATTAATGATTTACGTATAAATATAATAATATATTTGAGTATAATTTAACTTATCAAAAGATCATATTCTATGCTTTATATTTTTTTATATTAATTTTGAAAATATGTAATCGATTTTCATTTTTTATTTCATGTGTATTTTCATAAATTACATAGTTTAAAAATGACAGCAATTTAAAAATTTTTAAAAATCTCAAAAATCATCACTTTTACTCTTTTTTCGCGCAATAACAATTGAACGCAATATTCTATTGTATCTCTACAATAAAAATATATGAGAGTGTGAAGTTAGTCAATAGTCAAAACTCGCGAAAAATAGGACCTGATTCCTTATCAGTTAAAATTAAGGCGCGCGTGGAGCGCGCTATTCAAATTTCTAGTTTCTGTAAATTTCATCTGAAAGCTCATGAAATAAGCTTTAATTTGCATACTTATTTTTTTTTTGTTTATTAAATAGTATAGATCAACAATTTTAATTCTTTAAAATATTCAAAAATTGGTACTTCCCCTGTTTCTTTGTAAAATAATTATTGAATGCGATAACTGGTAAAATTTGTTTTAAATAAATGAGTTTTAATTTGCATATCTAACTATCGGTCAAGGCCAAAAATTACCTACTCTCTCCGTCTATCTAATGAAATTTTACTTTTGCATTCGTTTTATAGTAGATAATTAATTTATTGATAATTTGGAAATTAGTATTTTAATTATAATGAAATATACACGGATCAAAATTGTAGTGTTTATTGATTACTTCAGATGTACACTATTAATTCAAGCATTTTAACGATGTACCTGATGTACGTAAAAGTATTTTTTTTTTTGTATAAATTATTTTGTATAAATTACTTATACTAACTATAAACGACAGAAAATTTTTATTAAGTATAAAAAAGTTATTTTCATTGGTAATCAGTTAAGAAATAATTTTTTTTTTTTCAAGATAAAAACGTTTGTATTTGCATTGTTGAAATATAATTTTTAATTTAATTTTATACTATTTTAATTCTGGAACAAATTTACTTCACTTCACTGACTACCATTTTATCTGCTAATAAATAAAATGAAATACTATTTATACTTTCAAAAATATGTAAATTATTCATGACGTTAGTGGTTTCATCAGCCCGGTACAAATTACCTCCTTATTATTCAACAGTATGTAATCATCCATTTTCTAATAAATTAATTCTATTACTTAAAAAAAAATTTATCGTACATTTAGATTTATACAAACGATTCACATATTCACAGAGCATTGAGTGATTATTATCACTTAAATTGTCTTTTTCTTCACATAAGATTTGCGATAGAAATCACTGAACAGATAAATGAAAATAACAACATTCGTAACAAAGAAGTAGGTAAGGGCTTTTGGCATAGCACAGTCCATCGCAAGAATAGCCACCAGGTAGACAAGCATAAGGCCGAATTGGATCTGAAATGTTAAAAAGAGTGGATTAGTAAACCCAATTTGAAGTATCATTATTAGGGTTAATAATACTTACCAGTTGCATCCAAGTCATATATTTCTTCCACCATAACCATTTTCTATACCGTGGTCCCAAAGCAGCGATCATGTAGTAGGTGTACATGACTATATGCACGGATGAGTTTAAGAAACCAATCAAAAGTCCTTGTTCTCCGGGTAAAAGTTTCAGATAACACCATGAAAATAGGGCAGTTATCGTATGATGGTAAACGTGAAGAAAAGTAACTTGATTTTGTTTCTTCCGAAGAACGAAGAATATCTAAACGATCAAAAACAATTTTAATACAACAAAATCAGTTTATTTGTTTTGATTACATTAAGCCTTTTCATATTATATATGTGAGGCTTCACCGTTTTTTGGCCCCATAAAATAAAAAAATTAAGATACCAAAAAATTTTTATTCCGTTCCTTTTCACAGCGGATCCATGAATCTTTATTAATTCTTTATGAAAAATTTGCAAACTTTTATAATTTAATTTTTCTTAAAATTTGAAAATCGAAAATATACATGGTTATCTTGTTTTTTAACGATACAAACTCGATTTTAGTGAACAACGGTTGTTTTTGAAATAGTTTATATATACCTAGCAGTAAATTTGTGACGTTGGTGCATAATAAGGATTTTATGTGAAAAGTTATTAGATGGCTCAATTAAATAGTTTGGAAATTGTCGATAATTCAAAATATTTTTACGATTATGAAATATTTAATTTCTCGAATCATACTCAAGTAACTGAAATTAAAATTCCCCGGCTTTAGAATGGAACAAATCTGCGAAATCTATTAGCAAAAAATAACTGATAGTATCGATTACTAATCTACCGATTGTTTTATTCGTGTTCTTTAAAAATCAGTTCTATAAGAAAAAATTGACAAAATTAAAGATAATAATTTTTTGCCAATCGATATTCAAGATTTTTAATGTTCAAAGTAGTGCATTCCAATAATTTTCGAGTATTTTCTATTTTTATGTAAATAAGCAGTTTTCAACCAAATGAAGAAATAATTTGTCTTAAAATACTTATGAAGAAAGCATTTCCTTTAAATATTTCTAACAATCATTGACCGAAGGTGTTTAGATCTAATCAAATTTGAGGCCCTTTCATCTATTGCAAGATACATTCCACTGTCTAGTCGGTGATGGAGTTATCACATTACAAAAATTTGATCGACATCCACGCATACATGAATAATAATAATAATAATAATAATAATAATAATAATAAAAATAATAATAATTTAATACATTTTTTAAGTCGATGGTATACTTTAATATTTATTTCTTAAGACTGATTTTTAATACTTTTTAGATTTTCAAATAATTGACTCTCCCCAGTCTAATACAAAATGTTTTCAATTTTTTATTTTTTTTCCTTCCATAATATTGTTAGCCTGTATTTCCTTCCAGACATATACAATTTAGTCACAATTAATATCTAAATTTGTCATCAAAGGTAAATTTGACTGAAAAAATAATTTGGACGGCCCAGATCAGGACTCGAACATGGATCTTATAGTTACGCGGCAAAGGTTCTACCTTTTAAGTTATCCGAGACACTGTCCGTAACGACTATTCAGTCACCTATTATTGACAAACTCAGCCATGAATTGTAGCTCAAATATAGTAATGATGTTAATTTTGATATACGTGTTTTTCATTCATCTTTTTCCAATACATGTTTAAAGCAAATGTTATACGACGGACAGTGTCTCGGATAGTTTGACAGGTAGAGCCTTTGGCGCGTAATCAAAAGATCCAGGTTCGAGTCCTGGTCTGGGCGGTTCGAATTATTTTTTCAGTTAAATTTACTTTTAACAACAAATTTAGATATGAATTGTGGCTAAATTGTATATGCCTGGAGGGAAATACAGGCTAAAATTATTACGGAAAGAAAAAAAAATAAAAAATTGAAAAAATTGACTGTATTAGACTGGGGAGAGCCAATTACTTGAAAATCTAAATAATAATAATAATAATAATAATAATAAATTTGCGGAGCGAAATCTTCATTGCTTTTATTGAATTAAAATAAAAAATTATTTATTATTCGATTGAAAACTACAAAATGCGTACTTAAAGATATGTAAAATTAAAATTAACTCAACGTTTTATGTTTTTTAAAATTTGAATTTTCGAACAGAATTTGGATATTTTTTGAAAATTAAAATTTTTTTTTAAATTATGGAAACAGTTCTTATATTCTTCTTTTTGTGTATTTTTATTTTAAACCGATGCAAAATTATTTTCTATTTTTTAGTTGGGTTTTCTATCATTCATTCTAATAATAAATAAATATGATTTTTACTTGTATACAACCTTAGTGTGTTTTTACAAGGAGAGGGTGGGAATTTTTATTTATTCTTCCATTTTTTAGTCCTCACTTTTTTCACTCTTGGTTATACCTTTGTAACTATCACATTTATTTTTCCCCTTGTTTTGCACCCCCCACCCCCTCAGTGTGGTAGATTTTTTCTACCACACCTTAGTGCGTTCGAGGTAGCGGCTGTGGCCGACTTACAAGTGCTGTACGCATTGGCTTGTGCCTGCCCATTTAAGCTTTAGCACAGTGACCAAGGAAACCCACAGAAAACCTGGTCAAGTACAGTTCGGCTACGAGAGCGACCCTCAGCGGTTGTTGTTGATATCAATTTTCTAACAACCGTTGGGGCTCGAACCCGCGCCTCTCGGCACGATATCTATACAGACTAACGCATTAGTCCGCACGGCTATCGCGGCCGATTTATCATTCATTCTATTTTCTTACTAATAAAAAATTCGTGAAAAAAATTTTTGTGAAAAAAATAATTCCGATAAGTCAACAATAAAATTTATGGTTGTTTAAAAAAAGACATTTTTTTTTCTTTTAATTCACAACTTGTTTCGGTTGGGTAAAAAATTATAAAAAATTCTTAGAAACGTTTTCACATAGATGTATATGCTTATGTTGTACATAAATAGCATGCCAGATAACGTTTATTTTGTTGGTTAATATACTTTGTTAATTACTATCAACAGTAAACGAAAATTAATAAAACATTATTTATATACCTGTTGACAGTATTTAATTTTGCTAAGTTTGATAATCATTAGCAATATATATATTAACGTGTCTATTAATTACTAACCCGTTCTAATCAATACAAGTTCAAAGATCGAAATTTCCGGGTCCATTACATTGTATTAAATTTCAAATTTTTATTCTATTTTGCTATTTGAATATTATAATTTACTAAACATGAACTGGCTAGAATTCTGATGAGTTAGTTTTTACCGTTTTAACTTATTAATGTATTTCGATAACAAACTGTTTATCGTTGCAAATGTATTAAATATCAAGATGAGTGAAAAGCGTGTGGATAATTATAAAAAGTGGTTTTACGAACGATAGCAATATACATAAATTTTTTACATATGTGTGTGTATACACAATGAATTCAGGGCATAATAGGTGACTTATGAATATCGTAAAATGTAGTTTGAAGAAAAAAATAAAACGTCGATTGTAAAATTTCATCCATTTTTATAATGAGTTCTATGTTTCCGTTTAAATATTAACCTAGATATAATGACATAGTAATTAATTAGTGATTGTTGGTTTTTTTTTCATCTTATGTTACCACAAATTTAGTTAATTTTTAGTTAAATAAATGAAATTTATTTTTATGAAAAAAATTTCTTTTCTGATATCTTTTTATATATTTTAATACTGCTTAACTAAAGTGTTAAAATGATCATTCCGCAATTGAAATTATTTACCGTAATTTAAATTATTATTTGTGATATTATTAAGAATAACAAAAAAAAAGTTGAAATTGTAATAACTTTAATGACTTTGTATTCAATTGACTTACCGTATCGAGAAGTTCAATTATTTTCGCGAAAAAGTACCACCACGCTGCCGATGAAATCTAAAAAATATAAAAAGTCATATAAATAGAAAATAGTGAAGAAACAGAATAATTGTAATTTTCATAAATTTTAATACTCACCATCTCTTGTACATTTTTTTCTGGAGCTACGTCATCTTTGCTGCAACTGCTTGGATATATGAAGCTGATAAATTTATCATTTAAAACCTATTTCAAAAATAAATTGAGTTAAATATTCTATTGACGATAGCTAATTATACAAATGTCATCTTACCAAGGACACTAGCCAAATGCTGAATAAAACTTGAATAGCATTGTAGAGTATTAGTACATTGTTGAGTTGGAAAGGTGGCCTTGATTCCATCATCTTTGGTCCAACTTTTAAAACAAAGAGGAGATAGGTACTGAGGATAGCAAGGACAGGTACCGGTGAACCCATGAGAAACCACGTGTCTACGAGTGGATCTATAATGATAATTATTTTTTCTCTCTGTAATGATTAGAGTGTAAAAAGATACGCTGTCAATGTAAAATGAGTTTATGATGCTGTTCATAGTCTTACAATTCTACACAATTTTAATGAACTTTTAACATCATTTTTTTATTATTTATCTTCACATAAAGTTTTCCTGACAAAAAAAAAGTCATCTTACTTATGGCTGTAAACATAAAACAGTAATAGATTTCTTCAGAATTCTAGGTCAGTGTAACCATGAATTATGCCCGATTTTATGATAATTACAGTGAATAATCGAATCATTTTATGTTACGTTACTTAAAAAATTTAGTTTTAAACCAACAAGTAGGTCTGAAGACTCAAGTAATAAGTATAAAAATAATTATAACTTTAAATATCGAAATACAATCTCTGAGGAATTTTTTGCATTTTTTATTTTATTTTTTTATATGTATAAGATTAAAAATTTTAATTCCGGCATGTTGTCAACATTAATATATCGTAAGCTCGTCATCAAATTTATTCGCTCAATTAACAAAAAGTTTTATCATTACTCGACATTTATCACTTGCAGGAAATTCTTATTCATAATAAATCACTTAACTTTCATTGTTTTTCTTTTTAAATGACGATTCTTAAAATAATCTAATAACAATTTTTTTTACTTAATAGTTTCACAATAAAGGTTGTCATAGATTTTCAAAATTTTTAATCGATCTCACAAAAACTAAATATCAAGATTTATTTTAATTCCTATCTACATTAATTAATAAGATTAAAATTTTTGATAACTTTAGACTAGAATATTTTAGATAATTAATTCTCTTTGACATTTTAAAGTTAATTTCCTTTCGATCAAGAATTTTCAATAGATAATCGTAAAAAAATATTCAGTACCAAGAATTAAATCAAACATACGGATAAATTTATTTATTTCTATAGTTATAGACGTTTATGTCTGTAAAAAACACGTATATTTATTGTTATAATCACACAGCGTCTTAAGCAAGTGTCAACCTCACAGCTGTACATCTTTAATAATGATTTATTTACCTTTATTGCTTTCCAAGATTTCATGGTAATTGCTGACTACCATTTTCATAAAGCTTGCCATTGTGATGAGATGTATGTTCCTAAAAAATGAAAATGCGGCTATTTTTATTGAAATAAAATTGTTAGTTAATATTTTATTTTCATTTTTCATTTATCATTAGGTTCCAACAGAAGTTAGATAACAAAATACTTAAACTTTTCATAAAAAAAAAAATAAAAAGAAGAAAATAAAACTTACTATGAATTACGTCGATGCAATCAAAGATTTAAATTTTATATTTGTATGTATTTGCGCATATACAAATATGTATATGCATATGTATTTATTTATTATTTAAATATATAGAGATAGATAAATACGTATGCATCTATATGTATATATTTATATATACACATAAATACATATATACATAAGTGAACCGTATAAAGACACCAATTGAACAAGTTTAAACTTTTCGGTCCTCACGCCGATGTTCTTAGAGGACAAGTCTTGGAGTGCTAACAGAACATAAACGAAAAACTGACATTCGTTGGAGCCCCTTGGTGGGTAACTCAACACTATTGGACGATACCCCTCCTTAAAATATATGTTACCTTACGCCTTTCCACTTAACGTCAAACACTTCGACTGTATAGCTAACTTTGACCGCAAAAGTATTAATATAGTAGTTACATCCGATTGCAAACGTTGCGCGTACCCTTTAATTATATATTCATTTGACCTCTGTAATGAGCCGCTGATTAGTGGCATATATAAAACAAAAATTCATATTGAAAAATATATATTCACATATTTTTGATACACTGAGATAAATAATTAAAAGTTATCAAAAAATGATCTTTATTTTTTAATGCAACTTCACTTCAATTACTTCAGTTACTAAAGTTTTATTCTCACTCTTCGATGATTTTAATTTAAATATGTATATTTGCGAGTTAAGTGCGTCAGTATCTTATTTATCAAGAATAAATTTGTACGAACATACATTCTTACTAACGGAAATGGATACACTTAACAATTTCATAATGTCTTGTTAACACACAAGTCTATTATGTATTTATATTTATTCGTTGAAAAAACCTTTGGACCTTTCTTTAATTCTCAATGCAATCATAACATATTTGATGTATGTTAATTTAGGAATGTAAGTAATACGTCTTGGGATTCTTTAAATTTTGAAATCTAGTGAAATTGAATAATAAACTTTTATAATATGTTATATGGGCTTATAGAATAATCACACACGTATTTAAGTAATTAAAAGTTAGCTTCCTCAATAGTTAAGAGTAATAAAAAATCTTTATTTATAATAAGTCGTTTTAACATATAAAATTATATTCTAAATAACTCTCTCCATTTAGTATTATTAAAAAATATCTTATTAAACCCAGTCATTCTGTTGAAGAAATTCATTTCAAGGACCTGTTTATAACGGTTTAAATGTAAAAATATCTGAAGCAAACGGTTCATGATACAGAATTATGTATGGAGAGTTCCAATTATCTTTTAGCTTATAAAGCTCCAAAATTTTATAGTCAATTTTTTTTTCTATTATTTTGAAAATTTGTTATGAATATTAACTGTTAAAAATTCACGTCAAATAAGCCGTATATGATTTTTCAATTTTTTTGAAAAATCAACTCTACAAGAAAAATAAAATGCCATTCCCTTTCATAGACACAAAATTCTCTTTATTTTCGTAATTATGATTTTTTAAAAACCAAATTTTTAAATTAATTACAATAAAAAAGTTCTGCAAAAGTTTTCTTGGTGTATTGACTGTTTGGATAATTATCTTGGACTAGTTTGAAGATGAGCAAAATTTACATATGATTTTTAATAATAAATGATCAATCAATCTAGTTATGTCTGCTAGATTCACGGTGATACGAATATTTTGATCATTAATAAGTAAAAAAAATTAAGTCAATAAAAAATATTTAATTTTAGTTATAATATTAGCGAAGGTAAAAAAGAAAAAAAAGTCAATGTTATGTGTATCAAATCAAAGGCAATTTCATGAGCTTTCACATGAATTATTCGAAAATTAGCTATCTTCTTTCTATCGAAAGTTATTCATCAATGAAGCCTCAAAGAACGTGATTTTCCCTATTTTGATAATTTTGAAGAGCTACTACTTCGAAACTAATTTACTGATTTCGTCCATCCTAGGACTCATGCGAGCTAATTGTCCAAGGAATCTGTGTATCAAATTTTATTAGGATCTGTTGTTTTAACTTTCATAAAATAACTAAAAATTGACGTAAAATTGAAGGCAATCTCACGCTGGTTTCCGCATTTGGCCGGAAAAACCCAAACAAGCTCCTGTCAGAAAATTCTTTGAAAATCAAATAAATCGCCTCAACCCAAAATATTTCAGGAAATGCCCAAATACAGCTCCTGTTATTAATAAAAAATTGGAACTCAAAATTCAAATTTTAAAAGGATTTTCACGGAAATTGAATTTTGGCATACCCTAATATGTTAGATATATATATGTTAGGGTGTGCCAAAAAATGACGATACTTTTTTTTCTTCGCATTCCGCGCAAAATATCGTAAAGTATGCCCAACAAATGTCCTGCTAAGGCAAAGCTCGAAATTTTAATTTTAAGAGGTCTCTCATCGAACCTAAAGTTTTCCCATTTAAGTAACACCATTTAAGTTTTCCCATTTATAACTGAATATAACCCGATCGCTTCTACACCAAAATCTCATCACAAATCAGTAACTTCGTTGTCAGATGGTTATGATTTTGGTATCGATGATTTCGATATTGAAAATCTACCAAATGATAATCCTCGTTTTGAAACTGAGTCTACAGCTATACCTCATGATAATCCTGATTCACAAAACGCAATACATTCAACGAAATCATTGATGAGGGATAAAATTGAAGAAAAAGATACTCTAGAATCTTTAGACGGACTAAACATGACCTTCCCTATTATAAAGATTAAAAAATGTAAATTAATGAATGTGACGATTAATTATTCCAAATCATTGAAAATTTATTATGAAAATAATTAATTTCACTATTATTATTATCATTACTAACTTGTGTAGCTTAAAAAGCCAAAGAATGTTTTGTTTTTAAATATATATTAATCAAAATAACTATGTTAACAAATTATTCGGAGAGATAAGTAATATCATAACCAATATGATTGTTGTTTTCGTATTTATTATTATCATTCTTGCGACTTTATGAAAACTAAAAAAGCAGACTACTAATTTTATCTAAAATAAATGTTGATTAAATTGATTGAATTAATAAATATTCATTATTTGAAAAATAAAAAAAAATTTAAATTATTTTTTTCATGAGTGTACGAAAAGCAACGAAATATTGCTATAGATTAAAGAAATGACAATAAACCCGTTTATTTAAAAATTAATAAATAATTAATAATAATTATAATGTAAGTCACAGAGTATTAACATAGTATATATGTGACAAGGTATATTAATATTCATGTAATTATATTTTTCAATCTTCAAAGATAAAATAATGATTTTAGTAATAGTTGGATCGTACAATTATAAATGATTTGTCAGAATTTTTTGTTATACAATGTGGCCGGGATTATGTAAATAATCTTTTTAATACTCTTAAGAATTATGTATAGGTTAAAGGTACAATATAAACACGGGAAAGAAGAAGCGAAATACGCGCTGGGTCTTACGCGGGAACTTTTTGGAGTTTACTCCTTAAGAATCGATTTTCATATGAGGCCCTCGGTATGAAAAAAATATGAGGAGTAAAATCTACTGAACGAATGACCTCGTTACGTTTTTGTGCGTAACCTATTCTGCACACCTTTCACTTTTCAGGCGTGAGTATTAAGACGTACATAGGGTATGCTGCGGGGCAGCGTACGAATGTATTATGTGTATATAATATATCTATACATATTTTTCGCCTCATTTCGGCAACTATTTTTATTATTATACACTTGTTAGTTCACGGAATCAAGATATTTTGCATACTATTGTCAAGATAATTTAATGGAGATAAATTTGACACTTTTCAAAAATTGATTTAGTGTAATAGAAACGGAAAAAAAAACATCCCTGATTAAAAAAAAGTATTGAGACAAAGGAAAAAGTATTGAAAAGAATTGGTTTTCTAGTCAATCCAATTCTTTTCAATACTTTTTTCATTGTTTCAATACTTTTTTTATTCAGGGATCAGAATAGGTCAAAAAATTTTCCTTTCCGTCATGTAAGAAACTCTGAAAACACTGTGACTTGCGATTTGCTATTTGGCCAAAATTAGCTGCTGGTAAGGCTTCTTTTACTGCACCCTGTTCGTTGATCTTCTTATCCGTCATGACGCACTATGTATCATTCCCATTGGGATAAGCCCTTTTTAATGAACTCATCATCTAATTAATTGAGTCCCTGTCTTCAGTAGTAAGAATACAAACTCCAACAATAAATACCCACATGAATTTTTTATATATTTTATATACTTTACAAATATCAGAAATATCATATATATAAAATATATAAAAAATGCATGTGAGTACTCAAATGAAAGGTCTCGATGAGGGTAACATCAGGATGAGCTTATATCTTGAAAAATATCATTAGGTGACGAGATACAGTGTAATTTCTTAATTATAAATATTTTTAAGATATAAAAAAAATTCATCTCGGGTTATAGGTGGTCAATCGACTTCAAATTTTAAGGAGGTACTGTGCAAAATCACTTTTCTTACAATATTCTTCATTTTTTGAATACGCGTACTTTTAAGTGTCCTCTATACGAATAAATTTTTTTTAATAGTCCTTGCGGTGCTAATTTTCGAAATACTAGCAATTAAAAATCGTACATTTAACATGTATTCTCTATCCTGACCTCAGTTAGAGTGAACATTTTATTGAATAACAACCATATTTTTCTTAGAATTTTTTTGAAAAACTGAGAATATTTAATTGAAGCTATAACAAGTATTTTTGATCAAAAATAACACAAACGAGCGGTATTCAGTTTTTAATAAGAAATGTTTGAAATTAGTGACTTTCGATATTTTACGTGAGTGCACGCATAAAACG